ATTTGTTTGATCTGTTTTGTTTTCCTGTGTATTTTCTCCTTTGTCCCCACTCAGTGAGAGACAGCAAACATTTCCATCCAGTTTAGCCACCCTCTGCAGCTCCACCCACTGTACAAGAGTCAATACCAGTTCCTATAGCACCTGATCAGTGGCAGACATCAGCCAACACCAGCCAAACTCACCCTAAACAGCAAGCCGAGAATGGTGCACATGAGTCCATTCTCAAATCACACCCACCAGGAGACAATTGGTGAGAGCTTAAGAACCCACAAACATGTAATCATCAATTAAGTACAAAAACAAAAACACCACAATGTCTCAGAAACAACAGAAGATTCTTTGTTCACGTGAAGAAACAGAGGGAGTAGCTCAAACAAGTGACCAAGATACAAAGCCAGAAAATGTTTCTGAGGAAGAAAAGGTAATGGAATTACCTGAGAAAGAATTACAAGGAATGATATTTAGATATCTTCTATGGATTGACAGAAAGATCAAGGAAAGCAAGGAGAACACAGAGAAAACATTAGAAGAATTCAGGAAAACACTATAAGAACAAAGAGACAAAATAAATGTAAATTTTGAAATAATACAAATCCTGCAATTAGAAATCCAAAAGATTAATACTAAGATTTCAAAAACAGACAATACATAAAAGAGCAAAGTAATATATTTGAATCAGTGGAAGCCCCAAAAAATGACCTTGAATATAAATCTGTCAATACTAGTAAGCAGAAGAAAATCTGAAAAAAGAATAATAATAATAATAATAAAATCAGAAGATAACCTGAGATTTATGTAGGACACCATGAAGAGGCATAACTTACAAATGATGGGAATTCCAGAAAAGGAAGAGACAATAAAGGCACAGAAAAATTTGTCAAAGAGTTGCTGTAAGAAAACTTCCTTAACATCATGAAATATAGGAAGATAAGCATTCAAGAAGCTGAACAAATCCCAAACAGGATAGACTCCAAAAGAAAATCATCAAGACATGTCATAATAAAATTCTCCAAAACCAAAGACAAAGAAAAAAGTCCTGAGAACTGCTCAGAAAAAATGAAAAATTACCCACAAAGTAGAACCATAAGACTAAACTCTGATTTCTCAACAGAAACCAAGCATGTAGGAAGGCAATGAGATGACATATGAAATACTCTGAAAGATAAAAATTGTGAACCAAGAATCATATGCCCAATAAAGCTGTCCCTTAAATATGATGAAGTTAGAACATTTCCAGATAAACAGAAATTATAGTAATTTGTAATAACCAGACCTACTTTATAAAAAATACTAAAAGGTGTTCTTTGAATTGAGAAATAACAACAGCAGACAACAACCTGAGATTAATATATGTGACAACATAACTCAGAACTCAATCCGAATACAGACATAGCCAAAGTAAAATACACCTACAAAACTGAACATAATGAAGTCAACCACAAAGCAAAAAGAGGGTACAATGGAGATACAGAACTTACAAATGGCAAGGAAGTCAAGTAGAATTCAAGATAAAAGATCTTTTTAAAGGTAGAAAAAATAGTAAATTAAGGATAACATAAAAAAAATACACATACACATCAAAATTTAAAAGTAGAAAATCAGATTTAGTAAACATTAAAGCAGCAGCAGTAAAGAAATGAAAAGAATGCCCACAAACAAAATGAACTCAGTGCAGAAGTATATGTGGAGCAAAGAAACTAGCAACACCACAAAAGAACACGTAGCAAAATGACAGCAATCAATTCATACCTATTGATAATTATACTGAACATAAATGGGTTAAATGCACCAGTCTACAGACAGAGATCAGCAGAATGGATACAAACTTTGGTACATATACACAACAGAATATTATGTAACACTGAAGACTAATGACAAATCTGTGGAACACCTCATAACATGAATAAAACTGGAGGAAATTATTCTGAATGAAATTAGCCAGTCCCAAAAGACAAATATATGCGAGCACTGTTTAAAAGTTAAGGGTTTTCTTACTAAAAGATGTTTACTAGGGATGAGAGGGAAGGAGAAATTATTTACCAAGTTGAGGATAGACACATGTTAACGTGGGTGATGGAAGAGGCAATATACAACAAGAGGAAGGCTGGCACCGCAAAGATGAAGGTGGTGGAAGACACAGGGTGAAGAGGAAGAGTTAACATGAATAGAAGTAAATACGGTTAACTAATGGTACATGGAAGGGCTTGCAATCATTGTAATGACACAAAGTGTACAATTTGTTGAGCGTGGAACTGATGATTTGTTCTATAAACCTTCACTCAATTCAGAATAAAAAGTTGGGGGGGGAGAAATCAAATGATGAATTGTATCAGGTAAATCTGCTGCAGAAGACTTCGTTAAAGTGTTAAAAGAACGCCCACAAACAAAATGAACTCAGTGCAGAAATGTATGTGGAACAAAGAAACTAGCAACACCACAAAAGAACATACAGCAAAATGACAGCAATCAATTCATACCTATTGATAATTATACTGAACATAAAGAGCAAAAATACCAGTTTGAGGAAAAAGGTGTGTCTGACTAATGCTATTTGTAGTCACTTATATGCATTTGAAATTTGGACAATGAATAAGGAAGACTGTAGAAGAATTGATATATTTGAATTATGGTCTTGGAAAAGAATATTAGAAGTCTCATGGACTGCCAGAAGCAGCAGCACAGACTTAGAAGCCAGGATGACAAGACCTCACCTCTCATACTTTGGACATGTTACAAGGAGGGAACAATCCCCAGAGAAGGATATTATGCTTGGTAAAATGGACGGTCAGTAAAAAGAGAGGAAAACTACTTTTTAATGTCACTAAAGTGGCATCAAACGTAACAACAATTTTGAGAATAATGCAGGACCAGGCAGTGTTTTGTTCTGTCGTGCATAGTTTGCTCAGAGTCAGAAATAACTTGACAGCAGTTAATGACAAATGTTGCTTTTGTTGTTAGGTGCCGTTTGAGTCAGTTGTGACTTAGAGCACTCATGTGTGAGCCCATTGTTACAGTCACTGAGCCAATCCATGGCATTGAGGGTATTCCTTTGTTTCCCTGGCCTTCTACTTTACCAAGTATGATGTCCTTCCCCAGGGACTGGTCCCTCCTGATAATATGTTCAAAGTATGTGAGAACAAGAGTTTCCATTTTCAGTTCTAAGGAGCATTTGGTGGTGCTTTTTCCAAGACAGATTTTTTAATTTGTTCTTCTGGCAGTCAACAGTACATTCAGTATTCTTTATCAACACCATAATTCAAAGGCATCAATCCTTCTTGTCTTCCTTATTCTTACATATCTGACCTACTACCCACATTGATCTTCAAATGCCATGTAATCATGATACACACATAAGTGCAATTATATAGTTTTAAAATCAATAGAAATACATTCTATACAAATAGAAAATTTTGTGTAATAGAAAAGTTTAAGTTTTAGAGCCGAAGAGATAAATGAATAAATTCTATTTATCAACTTGCCAAAGTTACTAAATTTCTCTTTAAATATTTTCTCTGTTACTAAGGCAAGTGCAAGTAGCTTTGTTAAGTAAGTGTAGTAGGGTCAGTTCTGACTCATCGGACCTGTAAAGGGTTTCTGAGGAGCAGCTGGTGAAGTTCAATCACTGACACTGAGGATAAGTACTAGATTGCAAATCATCAAGTCGGCTGTTCTAGCCCACCAGCCGTTCCATGAGAGAAAGATAAAGCTTTCTGCACCCACAAAGATGCACAGCCTCTGAACCTTGACAGCACTTAACAACAACATATCTCACAAACTTATGGTGCCGATTAAGTAAAACAATAGTGAAATAGTCATCAGTGGGAGTAGTCTCAGTGAATACACATACACCATCACATGTGAGCACCACCCCCCAATATTTTGTTCGATTACCTTTTCCATTATTTTCATATTTCACATCATCTATTTTCCATGATTTATTATGATAATTTCCAAACCAGAGTACCATACTTTCTAAAGTGTACAAAGTATACCCAAAGACTTTCTAAAGGGTACAAAGTCACAGGTAATTTTAGAAGCATCAATTTTCAGATCTTCAACTACCATGTATGTTGTTGTTGTTGTTGTTACGTACCGTGGAGTTGGTTCCAACTCATAGTGACCCTGTGCAGGGTTTCCGAAGCTGTAAATCTTTACCGGAGCAGAAAGCCTCATCTTTCTCCGGCGGAACAGCTGGTAATTTCGAACTGCCGACCTTGAGGTTAGCTGCCCGATTCATAAACAACAACGTTGATAGATATCAAATCACTAAAGTATTTATACTACAAAGAAAGGTCGCATATTGGTTACAGTCAGCAGTTCGAAATTACCAGTGGTTCTGCAGGAGACAGATGAGGCTTTGGGCACCTGTAAAGAGTTCCAGCCTCAGAAACCCTACGCAGGGTCACTGTGAGTAGGCATAGACTCCAAGACACACCACCACCGCCACTCCATAGATAAATGTCAAAGACTAAGTGAGCATTTTAATTGACAAATATCAGTGTTTCCAACAAGCTACACGTTACCTCCCTTGAAATTAAACTTATCATTTAAATAAGTAGATAATTTAATACTTCTTTAAGGCATCACAGGAGTGGGGGGTGGGGATTTAAGCTCTCTTGACAAAGTGAGACAAAACTCACCCAGGTGGCTTTCCTATAGATATTCAATTAAAGCCCAGGTGGTTCCATTGGCAAACAATTAAGGCCATTAAGTGAAGAGCCCTCTCTTTCCTTACTACCCCGCTTCATTCATTCCCTCTCTACTGGGCGTCTCCCACACCTCCATAACCTCTACTTCTCTCTCCCCACCGTCTCCCTTTTGCCGCCACCCTGCTCTCCGGGGCGCATGCGCGCTTCCACTCCGTCCCACCCCAGGCTGCTGAGTCATGGCCGAGCGGAAGTCCCAGACACACCGGGAAGGGGATCGTTAAAAAAGGGAGGTGCTTCTCGCAGCCGGCATCCCTTCCTCCCGTCACCTTTCATCGTCTGAAAATACCCTACCCTGCACATTTCCGAACACTTCGTAGTCCACAGATTTGAGCGACTCAGTGGTGGACATGGCGGCGACGAGCCCTCTGCCAAGGAGTAGAAGCGGGGTTCGGGGAGCGGAGACTGCAGCGGCCACGAGAGGGAGGAGGCACATGGGGTCGCCAGGCGCACCTCGCGCCTGTCACCGACCCGGGACGCGAGAGCGCGGGGTCATGCGTCGGGAGGCGGCAAATCAGACATCGGGGCCGGGGAGCGAGGGCAGCTGAGTACGCGAAAGGAGCGAGCGCTGCGCCGGGCGTCTCTCGCCCCGCCAGACCCAACTCCCCGCGCGGCCGCACGCTAACTCCAGATTTGCCCGGTGCTGATTTCTTAGTGTTTGTAAATTAAAACTGTGTGCTGTATCAACATTTCGATAGTTAGGTAACCAAAATGGATTGCTTTTCACGTGAGGGAAGTCGATGGCTAAATGTTTGTTGCTGTTAGGTGCCTTCCAGTCCGTTTGGAGTCAAAGACCTTACGCACAACAATATTAAATACTGTCTAGTCCTGCGCCATCCTCACAGTTGCTAAGTGTCTAGTGGGCTCATTTTTATGAACTGTTTAGAGACGTGCCAAACGCCAAGTCTATCTGGCAATTTTGTGTGTATCCTTTTCAGCTCTGTTGATTACAGAAAGGCATTGGACCTAAATCCATATTCTAAATAGATTGTAATATTTTCTGGGAGAAGAATTTCTTTATTTAATCTGAACTCTTTTATGCTAATAGAACATCTCCCCCACCCCCTAAAAAAAAAAGTCCATTTCTTCCTTATTGCCCAGAACCTTCCTCCCATCCTGATGCTACATTCTTCTTCATATAATCCAGTTTCTTGGATTATTTGCTCAGCATATAGATTGAATAAATTTTATGAAAGGATACAACTCTGGAGCACACCTTTCCTGATTTTAAACCATTCAGTTTCCCCTTTCTCTCTTTGAACGACTACCTCTATGTACAGGTTCCTCATGAGCACAATTAAATGTTTTGGAATATCCTTTCTTCGAAATGTTATCCATATCTTACCATGATCCACATAATCGAAGGCCTTTGCATAGTCAATAAAACACAGGTAAACATCTTTCTGATATTCTCTGATTTCCACCAAGATCCATCTGACTTCAGCAATGATATTCCTGTTCCACATCTTCTGAATCCAGCTTGAATTTCTGGCAGTTTCCTATTAATGTACTGTTGCAACCATTTGGGGGTTTGGTCTTTACAGGAGTCCTGATGTGAGGCTGTAGGATAAGCACTAGACCGCAAGGTTCAAACCTACCTGTCACTCCTCAGAATGCCTATAAAGGGTCTCTATGAGTTGGAACCCACTCGGTGGAATTTAACAACTACAGGTCTATTTGAACTGCAAACAATAACAGCATTGTTTTACTGGAGTCTGGTGCATGGCTGTAAGATAAGCACTGGACTGCAAGGTTGGTTTGAACCACAAGATTGGAGGTTCCGACTCACCAGCTGTTTCTGGAAAGCCCAAACAGGTACTTAACGGTTGATACTTAACAACAACAGATTTTTTATTGAAAGATAATCAAGAGTTGGTACAGTTCCAGATTTGAAGTGCATCTCAAGGCCACAATCTTGGGAATTTCACTAGTCTCTATCAGACCAATAAATCTGGTCATTTCTGTGAATTTGAATTTTGTTCTACATTTTTCTACCACTCTGTCCAGGATTTTCTATTGTGATCCCACTCAGAGAGGTCAGTAGTGGTAGCCACCACTATCTCTGGTCTCTGGATTGTGGTTCTCATGGTTTATTAGCCCTTTAAATTGTTTTCTTGAGTCTTTGATTTTTTTTTACTCTTCTTTGCTCCATACTGGAAGAGAGCAATAGTTGCATCTTAGATGGCTGCTCACCAGCTTTTAAAATTCCAGTTGCTTCTCATCAAAGTAGGGTGTAAAACTTTACTGTTTGATTTTACAGATTGATCTAATTTATGGTCCATCCAGAGATTATGGTCACAATATTCCCAATATTGTAACCTTCACAAGAGCAGATCACCAGATCTTTTCTCCCACAGAGCCAATGGTGGGTTCCAACAGCTGACTTTTCAGTTAATTAACAAGCGAATGCTTAATCATTGCTCCACCAGGACTCCCATCCACACGGATAGGGATTAGGATTCCAACATTTATTTTGGGAGGACCCAATTTAGTCTGTAACATTAGGGTCTCAACCTTAAGTGAGATGCTGACACTGATTCTCACTGACCCTGTGCATGATTAAGGAAGGCTGACCTTTTCCTTTTCGTAATCGGTCTTTGACTTTTTTCCATATTTACTCAAGAACACCACTGTCAATTATTCTGTGGCTCTACTTTAATTTTAGAAGTGCCATAGCAACAATTGATATTTGCTTAACTAAAAAAATTACTGTCTGACAACGGCAGAACATTAGCAAACAGAAATTGTGTGTGCCATTTCAGCATGGATTGCTAATATAATTCTAAAAACTAAAAATTTAAGCAAATGCTTCTCACATCCTCATTTAAAAATTCCTCTCCTCCCTGTGTCTCCTGGTACCTTCATCTTTTCTCGGTGAACCTCCCTCTTGCTGTATATTGCCTACCCTGTTATGCATGTTAACATGTGTCTACCCTTGTTGTTGTTGTTAAGTGCTGTTGAGTCAATTCTGAACCATAGTGAGCCTGTACAGCAACTCATAGTGATCCTTTATGGGAGCAGAAAGCCTCATCCTTCTCTCACAGAACCACTGGTAGTTTCGAACGGCTGACCTCGAGATTAGCAGCCCAATTCGTAACCATTTTGCTACCAAAGCTCCTTAAATCCGTGAACAATTTTCTTTCTCCCTTCACCACTGTAACTATCATAGACTGTTTCTTTTATCAAGAAAATCTTTTCTTAGGAGGGAAAGAATGGTTACACAAACCACAAAATGGAAACAATGTCATCAAATTATACATGTCGAAACTGTTGAATTGGTGTACGTTGTGCTGTATGTATTCTCAACAAGATAAATAAAAAATTTTAAAGAATACCTTTTCTTAACTTTTAAAGCGTTGTTTTTATTGTTAAGTGCCGTGGAGTCGGTTCCATTCATAGTGACCCTGTATAGGGTTTCTGAAGAACAGTGATAAGCTTGAACTGCCGAACTTGCAGTTCGAACAGATCTTGCAGTCCAGTGCATTAACCGACAGCACCGCACCAGGATTCTGATTACATTAGTCTCCTACAATATTTGTCCTTTTGTGATGGGTAACTTTCACTCAGCATAATGTCTTTCAGGTTAATCCCTGTTGTGATGTGTTTCATATATCCATCATTGTTCTTCAACGGTGCATAGTATTCCATTGTGGTTATGTACCAAAGTTTGCTTAACCATTTTTCTGTTAATGGGCATTTAGGCTATCTCCATCTTTTTGATGTGTCTCATGTAAATAGTATATTGAAGGATATTGTTTTCTTATCCATTCTGCTCTCTATGTCTCTTGACTGAAGTATTTAATCAATTTACATTCAGTTTAATTATCTATGGGTATTGATTGATTCCTGTCTTTGGTTTTTGCTGTCTGTTTTTGTGGTGCTGCCGGTTTCTTTGTTCCACATAATTTTCTGCACTGATTTCATTTTGTTTGTAGGTTTTCTTTTCATTTTTATTTCTGTTGTGTAATTGTTAACTAAATCTGATTTTCCCCTGTTTTTATTTTGATTTTAGGTATATTTTTCTTTGAGGTTACCCTGTAATTTTTTTCCCCTTCTTAAAACAGTCTGTTTTATCTTGAAATCTACTTGACTTCCTTGCCATTAGAAGTTCTAACACTACTCCCTTTTTTTGCTTAATAGTTGACTTCATTATACATTGATATCTCTGGTTCCCTATTTTTAGTCTTGTAGGTTTATTTTAAGAGCTCTGGTAG